ATTTAGACCACATATTTATGTGTTATCATAACCAACAAGAAAATTAAATAAAATCTGTGGATCTACTAATGATATCAGGATGATCTAAGTATGAAAATGTAGCTTTTAACACTAACTGAAAATACGAGTAGGTCATTTTGACCAAATTTGACTTAATCCTCATTTCAGTGTGATAGGTCCCTTTCAAACAGGTTTTACGTGTGTGTGTGTGTGTGTGTGTGTGTGTGTGTGTGTGTGTGCTTGACTCCACCCTGCTCTGTGAAACATCTGAATCCCTGAAACATCTTGGCAGAAAAATGCAGAGTCAACTTCTTCTTCTTCTCCTTTTCTTCTGGTTCTTAAACAGAAACAGTTTATCAGTTCGCAGCTCACAGGCTGCAGTTGATTCATCACAACAAAGATAAAATGTTTACAAACCGTTTTTATTTACCTGTTGTCCAGCTGTTAGGTGAACTTTCTTTGCAAATTGAATTAAATTCAGTTTATTTTAGTCTTTATCTTACATGTTTTACATGTTTGTCTGCTTTAACACTCCTGATGGATGGATGGATGGATGGATGGATGGATGGATGGATGGATGGATGGATGGATGGATGGATGGATGGATGGATGGATGGATGAATGAATGATTAATATACTCCTGCAGAACCTGAAGACCTGCTGAAGAACACTGATCCTCCAGGATCAGGGGTGGGCAGCAATGACTGGATGAGTGGACATCAATGATCAAACTGAGTCAATGACGTCTGATCAAACTGAGTCAATGACGTCTGATCAAACTGAGTCAATGACGTCTGATCAAACTGAGTCAGTGACGTCTGATCAAACTGAGTCAGTGACGTCTGATCAAACTGAGTCAGTGACGTCTGATCAAACTGAGTCAACATCTCTGATCAAACTGAGTCAACATCTCTGATCAAACTGAGTCAACATCTCTGATCAAACTGAGTCAGTGATGTCTGATCAAACTGAATCAACATTGCTGATCAAACTTAGTCAATGATGGCTGACAAAACTGAGTCAGCATTACTATCAAACTGAGTCAGCATTACTATCAAACTGAGTCAGCATTACTATCAAACTGAGTCAGCATCACTGATCAAACTGAGTCAGCATCACTGATCAAACTGAGTCAGCATCACCGTGAACCATCATGTTCTCCTCTTTAACAAGTATTTATGACGATTAAAGCTGGTGTTTTGCCTAAAGGCAGTGTTCAGCGGTTTGTTTTCCATCCTCAGCCTCTTTGATGTTCAGTCTGTCCTGAAAGGCAGGAAGTGAGAGGACAGATACTTTCTAGAGCCTCTTTTCCTTCCTGCCTTCATTTTTCACCACAGAGACTGTTTGACAAGGTTAATGTGATGGAGAAAAGAAAACAGATTTAGCAATGTGCAAACCCACCTACTCCCAGATAAACATGATTGATTAAAAAAGGCGTAACTAAAGAGGAATGTTGGATGACGAGCTGCTGACGTATAAAAACATGTTCAATCAACAGTTTGTKGGTTTTCAGTAAAAGAAGAAAATAAGTTTGTCTTTTTGATGTCAAAAAGTTTTTTACACAGCGAGAAGTAAAAGTCAACTTCTGGTTTCAGGTATCTGCTGGAGCAGGATTTCCCGGGGATGCGAATCGGTCCGGAGCCGACCACCGATGGCTTCATTGCGGTGATGCACGGCGAGAACGAGGGGATCGTCCCCGGCAACGCCCTGGTGGTGGACCCCAAAAAACCCTTCAGGAAACTCAACGCCTTTGGGAATTCTTTCCTCAACAGGTGGAGAAACTTCTGTCGGAATAATGAAAACCAGGAAACACAGACTAGACTCTATGTCTCTGATGGTCACAATAATTTTAATGTTTTATGTGTTTTACACTGGAAAAAAGGCATTCACTTCCAGTTTTACACAGAATATTCAGAGCTCAGATACAATAAGAGTCAATGAGAGTCAACGAGAGACAATGGTTAATGGGAGTCAATGGGAGTTGATGGTAAATGGTAAATGGACTGTACTTATCTAGCGCCTTTCTATCCATCCAGGACACTCAAAGTGCTTCACACTACAGACATTCACCCATTCACACACTGATGATGGCAAACTACAATTGTAGCCACAGCTGCCCTGGGGCACACTGACAGAGGCGAGGCTGCCATACACAGGCGCCACCGGACCCTCTGACAAGGGGGGTAGGCAAGGCGGGTAAGGTGTCTTGCTCAAGGACACAACAACTGAGTCGACTGGATGGGGATCGAACCGGCATTCCAGGACGACTCCCCTAACCACTCTACCACAGCTGCCCCACATGATGGGGGTTAATGAGAGTCAATGGGAGTCGATAGTTAATGGGAGTCAGTGGTTAATGGGAGTCAGTGGGAGTCAATGGTTAATGGGAGTCAGTGGGATTCAATGGTTAATAGGAGTCAGTGAGAGTCAGTAGGAGTCAATGAGACTCAATGACAGTCAGTGGTTAATGGGAGTCAATGAGAGTCAATGAGAGACAATGGTTAATGGGAGTCAATGGGAGTTGATGGGGGTTAATGAGAGTCAGTGGGGTTAATGAGAGTCAATGGCAGTCAATGGGAGTCGATAGTGGGAGTCAGTGGTTAATGAGAGTCAATGATAGTCACTGGGAGTCAATGGGATTCAATGGTTAGTGGGAGTCAGTGGAGTCAATGGGAGTCGATAGTTAATGKGAGTCATTGGGAGTCAATGGTTAATGGGAGTCAGTGGGAGTTTGGGTGTGTGTTCTCTGCACTTTGAGGAGTTTTGAGAGAGAATCATAAAACTAACAGCAGAGCGTCACACAGGATGAAAGAGGATGAAAGTATCTAAAATACAGGACTGGGTTTTCTTACTCAAAACAACAGAATCCCTTTGCTGTTTATGGACAAACTGTGATTTTCTCTAATGCCTGGTTCACACGGTAAGATTTTAAAACTGTCTGTTAGCAGGGATATCTCATAAAATGATCTTTGGAGCCGTCGGATATTCAGGACGTCCTTAAGGTTGTCAGTGTGTTGCTGTGTGAACCTGGCATTAGTCGTTCGATGTATCRCTACCAAAAGTCTAAAAAAGCACCAAAATGTGTTTATTTGTTGTAATTCTAATAATAATTCTTTAAAGATTATTTGTTGTAGCCTGTTGTTAAATTTAAAGTTTCTGTTTGTGACAGAAACCTGGTGAACACGTTGGTCTGAAAGGTGACCTTGCTCCCCGTCTGGCAGAAATGTTCTGTGCTCATAAAGGAATCCTGCCCACTCCCACTCCTGTCACTCCTTTCCTCAAAACATCTCCAACGTGGGAAGTGACCCACCATGACCCCTCGCTGACACGTAAACACCGACAGCTTTCAGACGCGCCCGTTTATGCCGGCCTTTTTAATTTTAGCCCCACTCGGGTCCGACGGCGTATCCTTTATCCAGTGGGGGTGGGGGGGGGGGTACCAGTGAGCCCATTGTGTCCGAATCCACCAGGAGAAACACTCCATCATAAGTCTCTTTTTCCGGGAGGGGAAGTGTTTTTGCGTCACGGCGTGTTGGCTCGCTGGATTTGTTTTTTCCCCGCTGTCTGTCAGAGGCTCGGGCACAGAGAGACGAGTTATTTCAGGCTAAATTTATCTGTTCAGGAAGACTGGAGTAAAACAAACCTGACAGATGAACAAGAAGATCTGATCTTTACTCTTTCAGATATTTTATAGATCCAGTCTGAACGGGTTCGTTTTGCTCTGACCCAGGAGTGTCAAACTCATGGTTGAAACTAAAAGCACGTTCCTGAGCTCCATTAACTGAGCTCTACCTGGTATTTCCTGCATGGAAACAGTGTTTTAACTCATCCTCTTATAAACACTGAAAAGTACTGCGTGTACGACTGACTAAATGTGAAAAATACTACAGAAATACAATTAAAAGTAAGAGTTTTCTCACTGTTGGGTTGTGGAGAATTGAATTCTGAACTCTCCCACTTTCCAACAGGGAATTCCCACTGGAAGGGYGTTCCAATTTAAATTTCCAACTTGTAAGTGGGGAAATTCTTACTTCCTAGTACAACTGGGCTGCAGCAAAAGTAGCCTACATTTCCTTTAAAGTCAGCATTGACCGTAAACTACATCTCCCACAATGCATGTGGATTATTTTACTCGCAAAATGATGACATCACATCAGGAGGCGGAGCTGCACAGAGTTCAAAAGTAGCCAGCAGTCAGCGAAGTTCATCACGTAAAATCTCCATTTAAATGCATTTGAACCCTGTGCAGCAACACCTAGTGGTGTGATGTCATCAATTTGCAGAGATACGGGCAGTTGTGCACATATCCCTGCATACCAAGGTGGGTCCAAAGTGACCAATCTATAAATAAACTTTAAAAACTCTCTAAGCCTCAATAATCTGCAGTAAATCCTCATCAGGTTTTGTTAAAACTTATTTTTTTTAAATGAAAACCAGATTTCTGTGACTGAAGTAAACTGATTCTGCTGTTTGTGTTTTAAAGGTTCATCTGCTCTCAGATGCCCAATCAGGTTCTTCAGAGCATCAGCATCATCGACACACCTGGTATCCTGTCAGGAGAGAAGCAACGAATCAGCAGAGGTACTTTTCTTCAGGTTTTATTTGTCACTCTAACAGAGCTCACCTGCAGTGAACCATAATCTGACCGGCAGCAGCTTCAGGTGCTTTAAAAACATCAAACCTGATCAGAGTTTGTGAAAAGTCTTGGTTCGTTAGAACGCCGCCCTCGTGACGAGCTGCAGTTTGAGGAGTGAAAGAGTGGAGTTCCTGGTGAGAGTAAAATGTGTTTCCTCTGAAACCACAACGTTTGGAAAAGCAGATCTGAAACCAGAAACACGGAGCGAGAACACGTCATGATTAGGAGGACAGCGCGTAAAATTAACCAACTAAATTCACACATTAAACTAAAACTACAACAACACCTCTTCAAATCTGAAAGGAATAAAAACATCAAGTCTGGAGGCCAGATGTTCTGACCCGGTTTCTAAAGGTCCACTGAAGTCCAGCCAGATCGGTTCTGTGGAAGGACGTGTGTCAGGATTTTTCTGCATTTATTGTCTGTTTAAGCAGTTTCACTTCCCAACCTGAGCTAAAAACAGAAGGACACGTCAGAGAGAAACTCCTCCGTCTTTTATTTCATCAGAAATAAAAACTAAAACTGTTTCTGAACCTGTTACTGTGGAGAGATTTAACCTGAAATAAAGAGAAATGAGCTTTAATAGAACCCAAGTTATGTTTTAAAGATATTAAATGAATATTCTGACCATTTTAAAGTGGACTTTTGTGGAAAAAGTAATAATAAATTTAGGTTAATAAACAATATCTTACCTGGTGTAGACAGAAAGTAGATTTGATTTGGACCCCTCTTTTTGGAGGTTTTCCAGRAACTGGCTGAAGACCTCAGATCAGAGAGAGAACAAGTTGGGGGTGTTATAGACCCTTTCTGGTCTGAGAACATCAAGGGATCCCAGAGAAGGAGCTGCAGAGTGGAAAGAGATCTGGACCTGGTATCAGCCAGGGATGGATGGATGGATGAATGATTGGATGATTGGTTGAATGGATGGATGGATGATTGGATGAATGGGTGGATGATTGGATGGGTGGATGATTTGATGGATGGACGATTTGATGGATGGACGGATGATTGGTTGGATGGATGGAAGGATAGATGGATGATTGGATGGATGAATGAATGATGGATGGATAGATGATTGGATGGATGGATGAATGAATGAGTGGTTGGATGATTGGTTGGATGGATGGATGGATGAATGAATGGTTGGATGGATGAATGAATGATTGGGTAGATGGATGGATGAATGAATGAATGTTTGGTTGGTTGGATGATTGGTTGGATGGATGGATAGATGGATGATTGGATGGATGGATGGATGGATGAATGGATGGATGAATGATGGATGGATAGATGATTGGATGAATGGTTGGATGATTGGTTGGATGGATGGATGGATGGATGGATGGATGAATGAATGGTTCGATGGATGAATGAATGATTGGGTAGATGGATGGATGAATGAATGAATGTTTGGTTGGATGATTGGATGGATGGATGGATGAATGGATGGATGAATGGTTCAATGGATGAAAGAATGATTGGATAGATAGATGGATGGATGAATGAATGAATGGATAGATGGATAGATGGATGTTTGGGTGGATGGATGAATGAATGAATGAATGAATGTTTGGTTGGATGGATGGATGAATGGTTCAATGGATGAATGAATGATTGGATAGATGGATGGATGAATTAATGAATGTCTGGATGGATGGATGGATGGATGGATGAATGAATGAATGAATGAATGTTTGGATGGATGGATAGATGGATGGATGAATAACAGGTTATCATCTAGTTCAAACACTGAAACTTTTCTTCTTTCATCAGTTTTTCACTTCATATTCCTGCAGAAAACTGGAAGAACTTGCAGTGCTACAGCTAACTGCTACTGCTATCCATTCTTGGGAAAACCACAGAGCTCCATATAAAATCCTGTACTGTAAAAAAGGATATTAAGGTCTATGAAACAGGACTGTCATGAACCGTTAGAGCAGAATAAATCTTTACTTCTCAAAGGAGGAGAAGTGAATGAAACACTGGAGCAAAGAGCTGCGCCCTCGCTGCCCCTGAGCTGAGGCAGCAGGGTGACATCATGAAGTGGAGCTGAGTGGGTAATGAGGGGTGGGGTCAGGGTGGCGTGGGGGGAGGGGCAGGCAGAGACAGGAAGTGCGTGCTCTCCTTCCATCTGGAAGCGTTCAGGCGTTCAGCTGAGGTAAAGTTCCTCCTGAAGCCGTTTTGGTGAAAGGCGTCGCTGACAGCTGAAGTCTGAGGTCATCGCTCCTGTCAGGCGTCCTTCGGCTGATTTCACAAAGTTCAGCTGGTTCTTGTTTAGTTTGTTTGTTTGTTTTGGACTGGGTGAGACCCGTTTGTGTTTCCAACAGCTGCTTTAAAATCCACGTGGTTTAAAAAAGAAAAACAAAATGAAGAGGCGACGACCTTTAGCTTTGTGTTGCCAAAAACCCAGAGTTTGTTTTGAAAACAGAGCRTGGCTCACAAAAGTTTCCACCCCTCTGGCATCTTTTTATTTTGGTCTCACATCCATGAATTCATGGTTTCGTTTATTTTTGCTTCAAAGCTCCAAACGTTACCTTCAGAATACACACGAGCTAACCTTCGGCTGTTTCACCYGTTCATCAAAACTTTCAGCTCCTTCAGGACGTTACGGCTGAGACTGTGTGCATCTTTTATATATTTTAACTGTTCAAACTTTAAGTTCTAGCTTCTGTTCAGCTGGTTTTAGCCTTTAGCTTCTGTTCAGCCGGTTTTAGCCTTTAGCTACTGTTCTGCTAGTTTTAACTTGTAGCTACTGTTCTGCTAGTTTTAGCTTGTAGCTACTGTTCTGCTAGTTTTAGCTTGTAGCTGAGGCTTGTTTTAGCTTGTAGCTACTCTTTAGTTTTAGTTTGTAGCTACTGCTCTTTATTTTATCTTGTAGCTACTGTTCAGCTGGTTTTAGCCTTTTGCTACTGTTCATCTAGTTTTAACTTGTAGCTACTGTTGGTTTTAGCTTGTAGCTGCTGTTGTCTTGGTTTTAGCTTGTAGCTGCTGTTGTCTTGGTTTTAGCTTGTAGCTGCTGTTGGTTTTAGCTTGTAGCTGCTGTTCGGCTGATTTGATCAGATTTCAGTGTTTGTTGAGTTGCAGGACCCAGTTCTCTGAGTTCTGCGGAAAGGTCCTGGTTCTGGTCTTGTTGGAGTGGCAGGTTGTCTTCTGGGCGGAGTTGCTGTTTGCCCTCTGGGCTCTGGTCCAAAAGGTTCTGATGGATCTTGTGGATCAGAGTGAGGAGGATCATGAGACCTCGGTGAACTCCAGCTCTGGATAAAAACATCTGTAATTTATTTTAGTTTTGTAGGTTTTTGAAACATGTTGGACTCAGACGAACATCATCCAGGACTCTCAGGTTCTGCAGAGCGGTTCCTGAAGGACTCATCTAAAATCCTTTGTTCCACAGAGGACCCAGGAGCCAGGACTTGATCCGAGCAGAGCGGGTAAAACCTGGACCTGGTTTAAGTTTTGTGTCACGGTTGAATAATCCAGAGAGGTGTAACCACGAGTACAAGTACCTCAGAGGAAGTAGTATTGTTAGCCTGGAGGCATTTCCTCTCTGACAGGAAGTGGAGCATGTGAAGTAATCAGTCAGCCGTTATAAAAGCCCTCAGCTCAGGAATTTCCTCACATCAAGCCTGCAGGAGTTTGGTTTCCTCCCCACCTCTCAGGTGGAGAAATCGTTCTTTCAGGTGCAGGAAGTGTCCCTGCTGACTCACAGATTCAGCGCTGACACCTGGGACGACACCTGAAGCCGTCGGGAGGAACGTGAACCGGAGGGATGGGTGTGGGGGGGCTCCGGCGCCAACGCCCTTTTACTCGTTTAAATCCAGGTTGGAAAATCACCACAGAAGAAGAAATGGAGGGTGAAAAAGATCTGCAGCTGCAGCTAATCCAGAATATTTACCTGAATTTGAGACGATATTTTCCATAGATTTACAATATATATACAAATATCCTTTAAATACTTCTTAAAATAATGTTTTTATATATTATTTAAAGAAGTATTTATATACTTTATTTAGTGAGTAGATTGAGATTGATTATTTTTTCAGCTACAGTTTTATTTTATTTATTTTTTTGTTAACACAAAAACTAAATGGCTGCACTAACCACAAGCTGAGGTCTTTAATAAAAGAAATAAAAGAGTTTTACGTCAAACATGAAGTCCAAACAGCTGACGAGGTTCTGATGGAACCAGAACCAGCAGCCGGTCTCTGCAGGGTCAGACTGAATCAGGTTCTCTTCCTGATGTTGAAAATATTTTGTCTGAGTTCAGTTTCAACATCTGAGCTCAGAGCTGAGCCACACCCACACTGCCACGGATCACGTTACACACACACACACACACACACACACACACACACCATACTTAAAGGCACAGGAGAAGCTGATACTCGGCTGTATGAACACCCAGTGATGATCTCACACACATTTATCCCAGACCTGGACCTAAATCCAGTCCTATACTTAGTCCCAAACCCAGAYCTGGTTCCAGTCCTATACCGTGTGCCAGACCCAGACCTAGTCCCAGACCTGGTTCCAGACCCAGACCTAGACCAAGACCTGGTTCAAGGCAGCAGTCCAGTTTCTGATCAGTTTCCAGGTCGTCTGGTTTGATGTTTTGTAAAAAAAAATCTAAATAATTTCCTCCTCATCTGAACCAGAACCACAGAACTCTTTGATCCGGGTCTTCCATCTCCAGGTTATGACTTTGCGGAGGTTCTGCGATGGTTCGGGGAGCGAGTGGACCGGATCATCCTGCTGTTCGAYGCCCACAAGCTGGACATCTCTGACGAGTTCTCTGAGGCCATCAAGGCCTTGAAGGGTCAGGATGACAAGATCCGGGTGGTCCTCAACAAGGCGGATCAGGTAGGTCAGAGAGACTCCTCATGACCTCTGATCCCCCCCAGTCACCCTGACCCCCTCCTCTTCTCCTCACCTGTTCTCAGGTGGACACGCAGCAGCTGATGCGGGTCTACGGCGCCCTCATGTGGTCTCTGGGGAAGGTGATCAACACTCCGGAGGTGGTGCGGGTTTACCTGGGCTCGTTTTGGGCCAAACCTCTGCAGAACACGGAGAACAGGTCAGAGTCCTCACTTCTCCACCCCCACAGGGTTTACAGTTTTTGGTTCTTTAATCCCTTCGTTCCCTCCAGGCGTCTCTTCGAGGCCGAGTCCCAGGACCTGTTCCGGGACATCCAGAGTCTCCCGAGGAACGCCGCTCTCCGTAAACTCAACGACCTCATTAAGAGAGCGAGGCTGGCCAAGGTGAGACAGGAAGTCCCGTGTTGTGCTTGGAAATAACTTTCTGACGCTCAGGAAACCTGAGAATCTTCTGGAATGTTTACCCAAGTTAAAAAAAAGACTACGATCCGTGAGAAAATAAAAAACGGACCTCCGAGGTTCTGAAAGAATCTGACCTGTAGAACCAAGGTCCAGTAGAACCAAGGTCCAGTAGAACCAAGGTCCAGTAG